TACCTGTGAGAGGCCACTGTGGCTCTCTTGTACCTGAGGGAATGTGAGGAAGGAACATGGAGAAGACAAATTCCTCTGCACCAGTGGCATACAGTGCCAGGACTGAAATCACAACTCACTGCTTACTGGATCTGCTTAAATCATGGCTATGAATAACCCCCAGCAAACTGTCAAAGCACTTGGCTGATTTTCACTATTAAGGCTGGGAGAGACCAGAGTTGAAATCAACCACATTTATAGAAGAAGAAATCCAAGAATAAAACAATATGTGGTGAGGTGTAAGTACAAAATAGAGCAAAATAATGGTGTAGCACAGGACATAGTGACTGGCTAAATGAATAAAGGAAAGACTGCTGCCCTCACTTGTCCTCCTACAGCATTTCATAACATTCCTGAAGTTTTTTCTTTTCTATCTTGTTTGCCATAATGAACCATATGAAAATTTTTATGCCATTTTAATGTATGATTTTTCAATACTTTGTCTCATAATGAATAACTAAAGCAGAAAAATATATAGATGGCAAAAGCAGGATTTTAGAAAGGAAAATATGTCAACTCACAGATTATGGATCTGATATTAGCATTACAAGCTGCTAGTCTCTGTTATCACATAGATTTTGTGTATAATAAAGGCTTTAAAATCGAAGTAAATAGGATTGTTGTAGTCAACAATGAACTGAGAATTCTACACAAACCAGCAACTCACTTTTGAGGGATACATTTTACCTAAATGTTAAGACATAGCTTAGCAAAACAAAGCACTGAATGCCTCTGAAGCTTCTGAGACCTATTTTTTGGCTGAAAAGGTGTAGTTAACTCCAGACTTGAAGCTAAAGAATTTTAAGAAAACACAGGAGTTCAGGAGAAAAACACCCTTTCCCCTAAAGTAAGAGGTTATTCGGAGTTAGCCGTGATGGACTCTGGAATACCCTTTGCACTAGCAAACTGTTTTGAATTCTTTCAATTAAATGCTGACACATCTGGATTTAGAGTCCAAATTTCCTTCTAGGAGGAGATGTTTTTGTTTATGTTCTATAGAGTGCATGACAAGTTCAGAATGAAGTAAACAGAATAGCAGCTACAGTACATATTTATATTTGCTCTGTCCTAACATGACACTTCATCTTCCAGTTTGAACTTGCATATTGGATTGTTTGACTTAAAGTGGTATAAGTTTCTTCCTTAAACCAACTCTCTTTACAAACTGCCCTTATGGACACGTGTAATGTAGTCCAAGGAAATTAATTCAAGTAGAAGAAACTTTAAACCTAGGCAGAGGTGAGGGTACTCATGGCAGAATGATTGCTCTTGTGCCTTGTATGGTGACATTTGTGTTGCAAGACAATTCACTCAAGCTTTTTATATGGCATTTTGCCCCTCTGACATAACTTTAGACCCAGCATTAATGAAGAAAAGGTCATTTTTGTATGGGAGAAATGTCTCCTGTGACAGATACTATTCGGATACCTATATCTTTCCCATCACTTATCCTTTAATTACATGGTATAAGACTTTTCACAAAGAAATGGTTGTTTGTTACAGGAGGGGACAAGCAGCAAAGGGTTTAAACTGTAGCAAGAAAGAATTGGGTTTGGCATCAGGAAAAAATTTCTAACACTATGGATATTTAAGCACTGTAATAATTTGCTAATGGAGGTTGTTAAACCTCTATCAGTGGAATGTTTTCAGGAGGGGTGAGGAAAACAACTGTCAGAAATGACATGGACTTTGCCAGTTCCTTGGGAAGGGAGATGGACAAATGGGAGATGGTCACTGATGTCCCTTTCCAGCTCTACTTTTCCAGTGATTGTTAAAACAGAGCAGAAAACATTTTACCTGCTTACGGAATTTCATCCAGGTGCAAGTTATGGGTGCTGTTCCTACCACCTTGGCAAACAATTCCACTGCTTCACCTGCACGGACTTTTCTATCTTCTGGGAACTGAGTAATCTGAGGAGGAGCAGCTGATAGAAAACAAAATTTAAAATCGCTCTTTAGGTGACTATACTTTCACTTTTCTTAAAATTCAAACCACATACATCTCTCAGCTCAAATGTTTCAGAGCAGCATTTGAAATCCAGATTAATAGTTACCTGTTTCTGCAATGAAACAATTCTGTGGACATTGCTAATTCTAGTGAAGCAATAACAATCTACCCATCCAAAGTTTGCTCATGCAAGGTGAAGGTACAGACATCCAAAGGACAAAAACATTTAGACCTCCCACCAATTCCAAATATTCAGCTTATGAAATTTTGTGTTGGGTTTTTCAGAAAAACTTCTTTTTTTCCTTTTGCACTTTGTCTTTTTGAGGAAGGTTTCCATCTAACTTCTATCAGTTTGCATGTGCTGAGGGGATCTGTAAACCTGCTCCCTGATGTCATCAACAGCATTCAGAAAACTGAAGACTCAGGATCTGCCTATGAAGGTTCTGGATTCAGTAGCCAGATAACATCATGTGGGACAGAAACATCACAAGACACAAGGAAGGAAACTAAGGTCTTTCTCCATCATGCTAAATTTTTTGGTGAGCTATGAGGGATCTTTGTGTATTACAGTGCTTCTTTTTAACCTTGCAGTCCCATTCATGCTTATATGTTTCAGAATCAGGCATTCCTCCTCCTCCTGCCTCTCACTGCTTGCATATCAATAGATGGCAGAACATCTCCTCTGCTAACAGTGCTGCTTCCTGACTCTCAGCTGTGGTGCTGAGTGTCAGACCCCTGGAAGATGCTAGGGACAGATGCCAGAAATATCATAGGCCAGACAACTCCAAGGTGAAGCCTGTTCTGTTGCTTTATAAGAGCAGCACAATAAAAAAGTATTCTTGTGTGTGTGTATCGGGGGAATAGATTTAAGGACATATTGACAGAAATGGTAACAGTCATGCCCTAATATTAGAGCAACCTCACTGCCAAACGTAGCATACCTTTCCAAAGCACAGCACTACCAGGTGTGAAAAAAGTGCTTTCTTCTTATTTTCAATGTAATTAAAACAAAGTAGGGTTCCTCCCTGCACTAGACTTGCTCTTTGAAAAGTGTTTCTGTTTTGAAAATACCTGAAGGCACATATCTGGTGTAGAAAACAGCTTGAACAGATGAAAAGTCTGACAAAGTTTTAAGACACTGAAAGCAGGTTCCTATACAGGAACTTTCTGTGTAACTTCAAATATAGATAGCTTTGCCTAGGGGACTGCAAACACATGAACAGGCTACCAAAAATGCCAGTGATGAGGTAAAGTAGAATCTATCACCTTCTCTGTGGTAGCTGCTCATGCAGAGGTGACATTCTGTGATACAGTGAAAAATATCTTCCACAGAAGGCAAAGGTGCAGTGTGGATATACAAAAGGGCAATGGTTACACACTACTGAGATTCAGATTAGATATTAGGAAAACATTTTGCACTGATAGGGTGGTCAGACACTGGAATAGGTTGCCTAGGGAGGTGGTGGAGTGTTTAAGAGGTGTCTGGATTTGATGCTGGAGGATATGGTTTAGAGTTTAAGGGTTCCAGCAGAGTGGTAGGCTAATGGTTGGACTTGATCTTAGAGGTCTCCTCCAACTTTGATGATTCTATGATTCTACTGCTGACATTTCATAGGATCTTGCTGTAGTTTATCGAATAGTAACTTCTTTGGCTGCTCATAGTTTAATTCTTAGTGCAGTGTAATGTTATAAACAAGTTTGAAAAGCGACTTAACCACCACTGAATCACATATGCAAACAAATTTAGTAGGCAAACAGCACTACTTGGAAACATGGGTGGCACATGCAACAAATTACCTGCTTTGGGAGGAGTCTTTGGAGCTGGTTTCTTCTTCACAGTTGCTTCACCTAGTTAAAAAAACCCAAACAAATGATATTAATTCAAAGATGAGCTTTGGGAGGTACCAGATTAACCACAAACATCCATAGCAATACTTTGTTGGCACTTGAAAATATAATATGTTCCTCCAGCAAATTAAACTCAAGAATTAAAAATACTTCTGGAAAACACTTTTATTATCCTGAATGATCCTCAGAATAGTCACAGTTGAAACTGAAGCTTTTAAAAGAATCAAAGAAATCTGCTACACATCTCCCACAATCTGTCATACTCCATTCCTTATAGCAGTTTAACTGGTGTGAAAACATCAGGCCAAGATCCATGTCATACTGAATTACAGCTCAGATTTCCAGCACAATCAATGCTGAATGAGCTCAGTTAAAACTAGAGTAGTTAACACCATGTACTGCTTCTCATACCACTTGTGAGCTAGTAAAGAAACAGTGATACACCAACAGTAAACAGCAGTATCATCCCTCTGCCTCATCCTCTTTCCTAAGCAGGGAAAACTTTGTGCTATATTCACAACAGAAAGAGTCATGGCAAAAAAATCTGTCTTAGAACTTGATCTGGACACATATATTTTTGGAAGACAATGTTCTACAAATTGTGAATAATAAGTAGAAGGACACTAGGGAAGAGAGGTAGGTAGGAAATGGCTAAATTACCAGACAAGACGCATAAAAGAAACAAAAGCAGTATATATTTTCAAATATAGCATGCATAATCTACATTATGTTTTACAATACAGAAACATAAACTGGTTCAAAATGTCAAATTCATAGGAGTTAGGTCTAGTGGTAGCTATTAAATGCAACAGTTTGGATGCCTTCAAACCACAGAAATCCAGAAGTGGAAAAGCTCGTTCCTTTTAAAGCACTCTCTTTTTGTCTGCTATCCAAAGCATCCTTGTCAGAGATGGCCTCTGCTGTGAAAGGACATTTCTTATTTCCTTATGCTCAAGTAGGCAGCTTGATTGAAGCAGCCTGGCTTTTGAGATGTCATTGCCTCCAACAGAAGCACTATGTGCTAAGTGCTTTTAAATATCTGGCAGAATATAGATAGGTGCTTAGTGATAGCCATAACAGTCTCAAAAGTTTAGAAATATTTTTCCCTCAAATTTTTCTTTATTTACTTGAGTTACTTCAAATTGGAAAGACACTGAGGAGCAAAATAATCCCCCCAAATTCATCAACCAATGAAAAGAATTTTTTATTTTAACCCCTTTTGCTGCAGTAAATTAGAAGCTGTGCATGATACCCTGTATCACATCATCTGAGGTCTCATTGAACATGGGACTCAAGACTTGCAAAACCACTGTGGGAATCTAATGCTTTATCTCAAGCAACAGACAGATATGAAGACTGATTTTAAGTTTTAGAGTCATTGGAGATGGTAGGTGATGTGCTATAGGCTGTCAAAAGACCAAATGATTAAAAAAAATGTCTAATAGTTTAGCTGCCAACACCAGTGTTTATTCAGTTCATTCTGGAGAGTATTTCACTATGCAGCAAATAGAAAAAAGCTTTTGAGACCTTCTTTTTTATAAACTCCCATTTTGTAGTAATTTTCCCTCAAAGTATGCTTAGCTTTTATATGCTCTTTCTTTATTGATTTTGTAGGAAGCAGAAACACAATAATGGAGAGTTAAGATATTCTTGCAGTACTTACGGCTAACTCAAAAAAGAATAGTTGGCTATTTCCCAAGGAAGCCTTTCTTTAATGACTGTCAGCTCAACAGAACTGGCCTAAGGTTTAGATGAGTATTTGTGAGGTGTTTATCCTGGTGTAACTGGACCACAAGGGCATGAGCTGGGTATCTGTCCTGCCACATCTTCCATGTGGACTTAACCCACTTTAAATCAAGACCTTAAAAGAGCACAACTGCTCATTAAAGGGACACATTACTTCCTGGGCCACCAACAGAGTGACATTTACCCTGGCTGCTGTGTAAGTGACAGCAAATATATTTCCACATCCTCTTTCCTGCCCAAGCTTTACAAGCAAATGCAACAAGTGTTGCTTTCAGAGCAAATTTCTTCTTTGTCAATGTATGGTCACTCTGAGCTGAAACTCTTATCTCAGGCTGACATTATATCACGTGGATGAAACTACTTATATTATCAGGTGCCAGCTGGAAGGGCTGTAGCATCTGGCCTATCATCTGCTCTTAAACACCCCTATTAATTGAAATAATCCATAAATTACTCATTAGATGCATAATCCCATGTAAACTAACCCAGTTATATGATTTTAAAACAGGGAAACATTTTTGTTTGTGCAGGTGCTGTACTTGACATCAGATTCTCTGCTTTGGGTATCTGTTGGGTATCTCCCCTGAGCTACAATGACATTGAGTTTGATTGCTTCCACACTCCATTAAGCCTGATGTGAACAAAGAGCACCAACCATGAGGAAAAGAAACATTTGTCAAATGCCATTCTGAGTTGCAGATACTGTTGCTATTTTTCAGAAATGTCACTGTAGACAAATAGGAGGAAAAATGAATTCCTGAATCCAGCATGATTTTCACTTTGCTATCACCTCTTGGCCTACATTGAGTATTTGTTGCAGTACCTTATTTAACAAGAAAGGTGCTGGTGGAGTCACCACACCTTCCAAATGTTCATGTTTCACACTGATTCTTAACATCTCAAAAGCTTTTTTCCTCCTGGCTTACAATGTCATTCTCTGCCTTTGCACTATACCTGCACAGAATGTACATCTGTATACTCAGATACCCCTCACACTTCTCTCTGACTCCTATCAACCACTCAGTTCATCAAAGAAGGGATCCCAATAGCATAGTTTGTTCATTCACAACCAATTCATCACTCTAACTAGAACAATGATTCTATACATGCATAACGAACCACTAAGTATTACATTTACCCAGTAAGGGGAATAAATGCATGGTAAACCTCCCCTAGCCCTGGAATAACTACAGGTTATGCCAAGCCAGTTTAAAAGAATCTCACCTCAATGAAGATTTCCATAACAGCAAATCAGAGAACATGAGCCCATCATTTCATTCAGCTAGGCTACTGCTTTTTATATGCCAATATAAATTTTTTGTTTTAATTTTAGTTTTTACCCACCAGGACATTATATTCACTTAACTGAGGATACACAGACTGTCACTGGACTTCATCAAAACATGCAGATTGCAAAGGGTTGCTGAAAGGTCTGGCTGAATATCCTGTTTTGCAGACACAAATAGCCCTGAGCAGACATGAAAGGCAGGGGCAGGGTGGAAGGGGATGAGTCCAAGGACGTGTCTCTGGGGCTGTGAAGCTGACTTCTGCAGCTAATAGCTTACACTCCACAAGAGCTTCCTGAAGAATACCAACTCATCTCATGCATCTTTTTGAAATGCAACTTTTGTTTCAAAAGCTGCTGGAGACAGTGAAAAAAAAAATCTAATAAGATTACCCAAAGTTGACAAGGTCAAATGATTGTTTTCATTAAAATATTTGAGCCTCTTGGAAATGTTAGTTCAACTCTTCTTCTGCAGACTTTTTTTTTTTTTTTAAAAAAAGACATTTTGTCTCTCTTTTGACATCTACATTGAAACAGGGTGAAGCTGAACACCAGCCTGGAAGCAAAAGGATGTAATATTTCCCCCTTAAACCAATCTGCCTTCTAGAAACAACTTAACATAAACATTACGAGGTTTACATAACTTTATGGGCAGGTTTGCCTCCTGGAGAGCCTGTGTTTGAGTGGGGGGACATACACTAAAAAAGGGAAAGATCCCATACAGGCTGATATTTGTGGGACATTTGGTTGTGCTCCTCTTTTCCCTGATGGTATATTTGTGAGAGCAGATATGTTCAGAAGCCTCTTTCTTTTTTGCTTCCCTTTTTTGGAATTTTACTAAAAATAGGCATAGCCCTCCCCTGAAATGGCTCTCTGCACAACTTGCTTTCATAAAGCAGAAAGTAAAACTCTTAGGATATGAAAAAACCCCATCAGTACTTAAGATAGTATTTCCAACCAGTCCATAATTCCTACTGTCTTCCCTGAGGGACATGCCTAAAATTATGTGCATGTCTTCTGTAGCAATGGATTTCAGCACCTGGCAAACAAGTACAGTTAATACCTAACTCCATTAACATAAGGAACAAGGCATATCCCTGCTTCTGTCTGCTTGTGCCTCATTTTAGCTCAGGATAGAAGAGCTAATGACATACTCTAATACTATATTTTTTTCCAGAGTTTTCAGAGTTCAAGAGAAAATGAAAAAAAAGAGTCATGTCTGCAATGTGTCAGAAACCATGGTAAGAAGAACAATTATGGAAAATTTATGGAAAAAAACAGATTCAAGTATCTGCTCCTTCTTCCCCATCTCACTTGAATCCTTCAGACTTGAATGGGAGATTATGAGGTCTCTCTATCCCACATGTAAATGAATCCCAGTGTAACCTCCTTCAGACCCTTCTGGGGATAGCTGTCAGTGTCTGAATCAAAGGTGATTGTTGCCTGTAAAGCTTCACTGCTCCCTACTATGCCAGAAAGCATGGAATGACTGAGAGCTAGAAGAACAGAGAAAAAGGAAACATTTGGCCTTGTGGTCAAAGCCATGAATTATTCAATTCTATCCTTGCTTTTGTCACAGACTTAGCTGATGGCACAAAAACTTATTACAGGTATTAGCACAGACAAGATGAAATAGGAGAAATATGATGGCTACAATTGTAGCAGAAAAAGACAACACATTTTCTTAACAATTTATTCATACATTCGTGAACCTATACTAACTGCTAGAGAGGAAAATGACAGTCACAATGCACCAAAGACCAGTAGCTTGAAATCAAGGTTTGGAAGCTTAAACAGCTTCACTTCATTGCTTCTCAAAGAGCAAATTCCTTGTACTGTTTCCAAATAACTGTTTAGTGTCTAAATACAATAAAACAGAAAGCAACTCTGGCTTAAATTTTATGACGAGCAGAAATTAGAAAACTAAATGCCATACAAGTCACTTATTTGAGTCTGTGTGTTTCAGAAC